GATTTTTTTTTAATAAGACATGATAGGGCTCGAAGGAGCATTATTCAATAGATGAAAGCTCGAAGAAAATGAGGGCTTGGAGGCATACTCAAAAGAAGGTTATTGTAATGGGTTACCTACCTAGATGGTCACATTGTAATGGGTCACTTGCCCAGTGGAAAAATATGAGGATTTTTTTTTAATAAGACATGATAGGGCTCGAAGGAGCATTATTCAATAGATGAAAGCTCGAAGAAAATGAGGGCTTGGAGGCATACTCAAAAGAAGGTGGGATAGGAAATGCACTACCTTTGATGGTCGAGGGTTCGAAGGCGCGCTCGAAAATAAATAAGACGAGGGCTCAAAGGCGTGCTCAAATGGAGATAAGATGAGGGCTCAAAGGCGTGCTCACATGGAGGTATGATAGGAAATGCACTACCTTTAATGGTCGAGAGCTCGAAGGCGCGCTTAAAAAGAAGGTGGGATAGGAAATGCACTACTTTTGATGGTTGAGGGCTTGAAGGCAAGCTCGAATGGAGGTAGGATAGGAAATGCATCACCTTTGATGGTCGAGAGCTCAAAGGCTCGCTCTAAAAGAAATAAGACGAGGGCTCGAAAGCACGCTCGAATGGAGGTAGGATAGGAAATGCACTACCTTTGATGGTCGAGGGCTCGAAGGCGCGCTCGAATAGAGGTAGGATAGGAAATGCACTATCTATGATGGTCGAGAGCTCGAAGAAATGCTTGAAAAGAACTCAAAAGGAGGTAGAATAGGAACTGCACTCCTCAGGAGTGGAAAATGAAAGGTAGTGGAAAAATAGAGAGATTTTTCCAGTGGCCTAATTCTCATGGGCGGCCTGCCCAGGTTGAAAAATTCTCAAAAGTGAAAAATTTTCAAAAGTAATTTCAATGTTCGCCATTTCAAGTTGGCCTTCCACTTGATGGATTTCGTTAGAATTTTCTCTAATAAAAATTTACAAAACTCATTGTCCAAGGTCTCAAAGTTTAAATGATATGCATGCATCTTTACCTGATTTGAAATATAGGCCCCCATTTCTTCTTAATCTTTTTGTTGCTTGGTTGGTGAGATCTTGTTATCTTATTTAAGTCATCTTTGTCATTTAGCTTTCTAGCCCACTCGAGTTGGCTCATATAAGTCTATTTCCAAATTTATTTGTATAACTCAACATTTGTGGTGCCCATCGTGACCCACTTGCTTGCTAAAGATTTTCTGATTCGTCAAATAATTTAAGAGGATCACTCATTACTCCTCGTTTCACTGCTAGAAACATTCGGTGTCACTTGCTGAAAGGATCGAGCTGTCTTTTGTAAACCAAAATGCCCCCTTGTCTGGTTAAAGGAAATTACCATCTCCTTTTCTAGAATTTTTCCTTTTAAACACAATGTTGCCCCCTTGTATTGGTTATTGCCTCTAAGTGTGCTCTCTTAGTGATTTGGACAAATAATGGTTCTAAGAGGTCATTCTCTCATATCTATCCTTTTTTCTGTTTGGTGAAGGAATATGGGTCTAGAATGAATCTTGAAATCTTGATCTTGCATTTTGAAAACAAAAAATTATTTCGATGTGAGTCTAAAACAATTTGCTTTTGAAATCTTGCAACTCCGTGGTTATTTTTCTTTCTTGGAAAAGAGATTATTTGTTCTTGTGTTTGGCAATGAGGTCTTCGATGAAAATATATCATGATATTATGACCTTTAGCTTTTATAGGTTTTCAGAGTGGAGGGCTCAAGAAAAAGCTCGAGGTTTTGTATGAGAAGAATTGTCTCTTTTTGCATATTTATTTTTATCAGCATGAATAATAATGAGTAGTTTATTCTTGATGTCATGAATCTTATGAAAAAGTATTCTATGCATTTTGAGAGCATTGTTTATTATTCTAGGTTGCTTGCTTGCTTGATTAGAAAGGACTTCTATAGGCACGTAACGTAGGCTGTAGTTTTTTTGGCAATGAAAGAAAAGGATTCATAAGGCTCAAAGAGTGTTTCAGGGCTTCAAAGACTGAGGATCACTATTAACAGTTTGACTATTGATGTCATTCATATTTTTTTTTTTGCCGCTCTTTTTTGATTTGCTGCTTTTTTTTTTCATTGCTTTCCTATAGAGCATACTCACTTGATCTTGGTTATCACTTTTTCTTGTGATTTGGGCATGCCCCCTAGCATTTGAGTTTCTTGGGTTTTTTTGACTTTTGGCTTTCTCACAGCTTTATCATCTTTCTTGATAATTGAAATTTCACTTGCCCCCAGTGTGGGGTGTGATCCTAGTCGGGATTTTTTTCTATGAAAGAAAAAAAATTATTCAGGCTCAAAAAGGGTTTACAAGGGATGTATTTATTTTAAAACGTGAAAGGAATAACAAAGATGGCCTTTCCTCATTTCAAGCGCAAGCAACTATGATCAATAAACTTTGACCTCGTATAATGTGATGGTTTATTCTTTGCAAAGATGCATTTCATGAGTTATGAGCAACAAGTTCACTACATACCATTATTCATACATTTAAAAAAAAAAACACATGATTCAAGAGTAATGGGGTAAGGGTGTTTATTCATTTCTTTTTCATTTTTTTTGTTTATAATTTAGTCACCTCAATGATGGAGTTGCTTGATTCACTTGTCATTCTACAAGTAGAATGTCAAAAATATTGTTTTTTGAATAAACATCAAATTATTTTTGAAATCAAAATGCCAGATCAATTTTTCAAAACTATAACAGGGAAACTGATTTTGGTAAGAATGATGAATTGAATCTATGAGATCATGCAAGGCTTCAAGGTTGTATTTACTGATTCTTTGATAAACATTTATAAGAGAGAGCAAAGACATGCAAAGTGAATTTATTGGCAAAACTTTTATTGATTGGATGAGAACTTATACAATCATGGATAATATTTCTTCACAGAATCGGAATTCACTGGCCTACTCAACTCTTCTCCATCCATTCCTGTCAGTATCAATGCTCCTCCAGAGAATGCCTTTTTTACTACATAAGGACCTTCATAATTGGGTGCCCACTTGCTATGATTTTCATTAGGTAGTAATAGGATTTTTCTCAATACAAGATCTCCTACATCAAACTCTCTTGGTCAAACTTTTTCTGTCATATGCTCTTGCTATCCTTTTTTGATACAATTGGTGGTGACAGATTGTAGCTAATCTCTTTTCATTGATCATATTTAGCTGTTCATATCGTATTCTTGCCCATTTAGCCTCTTCTAGCTCAGATTCCATGAGGACCCTTAAAGAAGGAATCTTTACTTCCAAAGGCATCACTGCCTCCATTCCGTAAACTAATGAATAAGGTGTAGCCCTAGTGGACGTTCTTATTACTGTTCGATATGCATGTAAGCATAAGGAAGCCATTCCTGCCAATCTTTATATGTAACCACCATTTTCTGGACAATCTTCTTTATGTTCTTGTTAGCCGCTTCAACAGCACCATTCATCTTTGGTCGGTAAGGGGATGAATTGGAATGCTTGATTTTCCATTTAGTGCATAATTCCACGATCATCTTCCCATTGAAGTTCTTGGCGTTATCGGTTACTATCCTTTCTGGCAAACCATACCTACAAATTAGGTCTCTCTCAATGAAACGCTTGACCACTTTCTGCGTCACATGAGCATATGAACAGGCCTCTACCCACTTTGTAAAATAATCAATTGCGACCAAGATAAATCGATGACCATTGCTAGCTTTTGGATTAATAGGCCCAATCACATCTATCCCCCACATTGCAAATGGCCAAGGTGACACCATATTGAATAAGGGCAATGGAGGTGCATTGATTTTGTCACTATACACTTGACATTTATGACATCTTCGGACAAATTCTATACAATCCTTCTCCATAGTCATCCAAAAATACCCTGCTCTTTGCATTTTTCTCGCCATCATGTGTCCATTTGCATGGGTGGTGCAAATTCCTCCGTGTACTTCATACAAAGCTTTATTGGCTTCTGATCTGTCTAGGCATCTTAATAAAGTCCCATCGAATGCCCTTTTGTATAAGATTTCTCCATCTAGAAAGTATTCCATGGCCATTCTTCTCAACGTCTTCTTATCTGTCTTTGAAGCTTCAGAAGGATATTCTCGATATTGGATGAATCTTTTTATATCTGCATACCAAGGATTGCCATCAATTTCTTCTTCTATTAAATAACAATGAGCAGGAGAACTTCTGATATCAATGCCTATAGGATGTACTCTGATACCACAATCGATTGTGGCCATAGAGGCCAGGGTTGCTAAAGCATCCGCAAACTGATTCTTATCCCTTCCTAAATGATTGAACTCTATCTCTTCAAACTTTTCAGCCAACTTGGAGAGATATTCTTGATATGGTTTCAATTTCTCATCTTTTGTCTGCCATTCCCCCTTTGTCTGGCAGATTATCAACATGGAGTCTCCATATACCTCTAGTTTTTGTATCTTTAGTTCCAATGCAGCTTCTAATCCATGAATATAAGCCTCATATTCAGCTGTGTTGTTTGTGCAACTAAATTGCAATTTAATGGAGATGGGATATTGTTTCCCTTCTGGAGAAATTATTACAGCACCAGCTCCATTACCAGACACATTCACTGCACCATCAAAGTACATGGTCCACCAATCACTTTCTATTACTAACACATCTTCATCAGGGAAGTCAAAATTTAATGGCTCATAGTCTTCAAGGGCATTATCAGCTAAATGGTCTGCGATTGCACTTCCTTTCACAGATTTTCTTGTTTTGTAGATGATATCATATTCAGCCAACAACACTTGCCATCTGGCTAGCCTATTTGACATGTACGGTTTTTCAAAAATATATTTCAGAGGATCTATCTTTGAAATTAACCAAGTGGTATAATATAGCATATACTGCCGGAGTCTTTTCGCACTCCATATCAAAGCACAACACAACTTCTCAACCATACTGTAACGAGATTCACACTCAGTGAACTTTTTACTAAGATAGTAGATGGCTTGTTCTTTTCTTCCGGTCTCATCATGTTGGCCAAGCACACAACCCATTGCTGATTCAGTTACTGTTAAATACAAAATGAGAGGCTTTCCAGGCACAGGTGGTACCAATAGAGGTGGGTTTTGCAAATATTGTTTTATCTTATCAAATGCTTTTTGACAGTCTTCATCCCATACTCCAGGGTTTTTCTTTCGAAGCAATCGAAAGATTGGTTCACAAGTGACTGTAAGTTGTGAAATAAATCGAGCAATGTAATTTAAACGCCCCAAAAAACCTCGAACTTCTTTCTCGGTTTTAGGAGTTGACATAGCTTGTATGGCCTTCACTTTATCAGGGTCTACTTCTATGCCATTATTGCTTACCATAAATCCCAATAACTTCCCTGACTTCACCCCAAATGTACACTTTGCAGGGTTCAACTTTAATTGATACTTTCTCAGCCTTTCAAATAATTTCTTCAGAGCTGGGATATGGTTTTCCTCATCTTTAGACTTAGCAATCATATCATCCACATATACCTCAATTTCTTTGTGCATCATGTCATGAAATAGTGTCACCATTGCTCTTTGATAAGTTGCCCCAGCATTTTTCAATCCAAATGGCATAACTTTATAGCAATATGTTCCCCACGGGGTGACAAATGTTGTTTTCTTTTTGTCTTGCTCGGCCATTTTAATCTGATTATACCCAGAGAAACCATCCATAAAAGAGTAAGTAGAACTCTTAGCAGCACTATCCACTAGCACATCTATATGGGGTAAAGGAAAATTATCCTTTGGGCTTGCCTTATTCAAGTCTCGGAAATCCACACATACCCTGATTTTGTTATCTTTCTTGGGCACTACTACGATATTGGACACCCATTGAGAATAATCGACTACTTCCAAGAATCCAGCATCCCACTGTTTCATTATTTCTTCTTTCACTTTGATTAGTATATCTGGCCTTGTCCTCCTCAACTTTTGTTTAACTGGCTTACAACCTTCTATCAAAGGTAGCTTATGTACCACAATATCAGTATCCAGACCAGGCATATCAGCGTATGACCAGGCAAAAACATCAACATATTCTTGTAAAAGAGCAATCAATTTCCCTCTTCCATCAGTAGAGACTAACTTCCCTATCTTCAACTCTCTTTTATTATCCTCGGTGCCCACATTTATCAGTTCTAATTCTTCTTTTGCAGGCTTCCATGTGCGGTCAGATTGTTCGACTAACCTTGTGAACTCATGTATATCCTCTTCACCAAACTCTTCCTCATCCATGGCAATTATATTTTCATCAAAGTTAAGCCAATTATCCACAGTGCAATGAGTTTGTGAGGTGTATGACAATCCGCTTTCAGATTTCCTGAAAGCGGAAAGTGTTTCGGTTATGAGTATATAGTTTTGGGAAATTAAATAAATGAACAGAGAAGGAGAAAAAGAAAAAAAAATGATTAAAAGAAATTATGCATGATCTCATTGAAATCTAAAGGATAGAAGGGCTCAACCACAAAACCTTATTGCCAATCTCTTAAGCCATGATGATTTGGCAAGGCACAATTATTCAAACAATACAAATAACCAACACAACAAACAAGTAAACGAACATTACTTTTTGAAAATAATTGGAACTTCATGAATTTCCCAATTTGCTAAATCTTCTCCCTCAGCCAGTTTCCTCACGAATTCTGATGAGCCATCTTCCAAAACACTAATAGTCAGCTGAGGCAACTGTTCATGAGTACTATCTTCCTCCTTTAACTCTTGTTCACTGTCTTTTTCAAGATAACTGATAGTAACACCATTGAATTCCTTTCTTAATCCTCCCTCATAATCTTCAGTTTTTATCACATATGCGGGTCTTGGGAACGTTACATGGATTGGTGGGATTTCCATTCGATCTTCATCTGGTTCTCTCCTTTCAATCCGGGCCATTCTCTTTTCTCTTCTAATTTCAGCTGCTCTTTTGAAATCTGCTTTCCCAGGCTTAAACCCTAAGCCAAACCTTTGATCCGCGCACTTCATTTTTATCACATTAACCCTCTCAGGCATTCCGGTAGCGTGGTCATATTGAAATGGCAGTCCATGCTTTAAGAAGTATTTAGCAGCCATTTTTGCTGCTTCAGAAATTTCTGGTTTCCTTCGTATCATATTTTCTGGTACCCATTCAGCATTTACAACTTCAAATGCATGCAGATTTCCATCCTTAATTTCTTCAGTTTCTATATAAGGGATCGACACATTTTTCATTGTTGATAAAGTTTCCTCAGCCCTCACAGTCACCAAATTTCCATTGATGATAAACTTGACCCGTTGATGTAAAGAAGATGCGACAGCTCGGGCTGCATGGATCCAAGGTCTCCCAAGTAACATGCTATATGATGGATGAATGTCCATTACTTGTAATGTGACTTGAAATGGTTGTGGGCCAATGATTAGTTCAACATCAATACTCCCAATGATTGGTCGAGGTGACCCATCATATGCCCTAGCAGTCATGGTACTTGGCTTCATGTGAGAGGCATCAACTGGCATTTTATCAAGTACATGTCTTGGTAATACATTGAGAGCAGAACCATTATCTATAAGCACCTTAGCGACCACACAATCTTTGCATTTTACCGTGATGTGCAACGGTTTATTATGACCGATCCCTTCATGATCCAGCTCATCATCGGTAAAGTAAAGGTAGTTGGTGGCTTGAATCCTGCCCACCAAATGTTCTATGGAGTCTTGTGTGATATCCTGAGGAACATATGCTTCATTAAGAACCTTCTGAAGTGCGTTCCTATGCAATTCTGAACTCAACATTAATGACAACAAAGAAATCCTAGCAGGTGTTTTCTTTAGCTGATCAACCACACTATATTCGCTGTGCTTCATTAATTTCAGAAATTCATTAGCCTCTTCATCACTTACTGGCTTATTAACCTCATCGGTCTTTGCCAATTCCACCATATCCTTTCCTTTGGCTTTTCTGTGATTTTCCAACTCTTCAGGAGTAAAACATCTCCCACTTCGAGTGAGTCCTCCTATTTCAGCATGGAAAACAGGGGCAGGATTTGTGTTGTGAAAGGAATAACCATAATTATATGGTTGGGCACTAAAACTCCCGCTAACAGTATTCATAGGCTTGGTTAGGATCATTTTTGGTGGACCCTTTTCGGTTGGTATATATCTACAAACTTCCACCTTCTTGTTACAACCAGTCATTGTTCCTACCAACTCATCTTCTTTGGGTTTTATTAATCTTAATACTCCCAATGTCATCATATTTTCTACCTCCAAATGGAACTCCTCACACGAGTCGATATCATGCCCAAGCTGTTGATGATATTTACAATATTCATTATCATTCCTTATAGCTTGTACTTTGACTGGTGTCTTTAAATAGTCTGTTTGCCTCAACATCCCATACAATCTATCCATAGTCACCCTTAAAGTTGATGTACTTCCCCTTCCTATCTCCAAATTATTAACTCCCCCGCTTCCAGAAGCATGATTTGGTAGAGGGTTAGAATTCACATTTGGAGACTCATCAAAAGAAATCCAACCAGCTTTGATAAGCTGAAGGATTTTTCGTTTGAATGCAATACATCCATCAATATTATGACCAACAACACCAGCATGGTATTCACATTTTTGATCGGGTTTATACCAAAAGGGAAATGGTGGTTGTAAAGGTTCTAATGGAATAGGTGCTACCTGCCCAATACTAAGCAATCTTTGGTGCATTTCAGTAAGAGACATGGGTAATGGTGGAAGTTGCACTTGATCTGTTGGAAAATTTCTTCTTGGGCGGTAGGCATTATTGGTTTGGTTGTTTATTGGGTGGTTTTGGGTGTTTGTAGGTGAAGAGAATTTTATATTGGATATAGAGGGGGTAGGTGGAATACTTTTAAAGCTGTAATTATCTTGGTAGGTTTTCTTCCCTCTACTTTCCCTTTCAACATTGTGAATTTCTGTTTCTTTCCTCTTCCCAATAAAACCTCTTTTTTCAGTAGGATCCACGATCCTACCCGTCCGAACGGCTTGTTCGATCCTTTCAGCTATGACAACCAAATCGGAGAAATTTTGTGCTGCACTGCCTACCAAGTACTCAAAGTACGGGGCTTTAAAAGTATTGGAAAATAAGCCAGTCATCTCCCTTTCCGACAATGGAGGACTTACTTGTGCAGCTAATTCACGCCACTTTTGGGCATATTCTCTTACAGACTCCTTATTGCCTTTTTCCATGGCTTGCAGACTTGATCTATCTGGGGCAATATCCATGTTGAACTTATATTGTCTAACAAAAGCATCAACCAAGTCCTTCCATCCTTTAATCTTGGTATTATCCAAACGCATATACCAAGCAAGAGCAGCATCACTTAAACTGTCCTGAAAGAAATGGATCAATAATCTCTCATCATGGACTACTTCAGCCATCTTATTACAATATGCTTTAAGATGGGTGATTGGGCACTGAGTTCCGGTGTATTTAACAAATTCTGGAACTCTGAATTTTCTAGGAATAACCACGTTAGGCACTAAACACATTTCAGCGGCCTTCACGGGATCATACAAACTATTCCCTTCTATTGCCTTCATTCTTTCTTCTAAGGCAGCTAGTTTCTCATGACCATTTTCCTCTATTATCTTGTTCCTTTGAGGTTCTTCTTCTGTCAACACAATATGAGGGATCCTCATTGGATGTGCTGATTGAGTAGGTGCGAAAGGAGCAGCATGCTGAGGTTCGAATGGCGGAATAAAGGAAGGTGGAGGCTGAGGTGTACATGTTTGTTGAGAAGATGTTCCTTCCCCAGCTCTAGGCCTCAAAGCTTGCTCGAGCAAGCTAGTGAGCCTTGCCACATCCTCTTTCAGGCTTTCCAACTCTCTTTGGTGTTGCATTTCTAACTGAGCTCTCTCTTCATTTTCCATTTTCTTTCGTGAACGAGTATTATGAATACGTTTCAGTTGGGGACCTATATTTCACCTGTTATATGCAAAATATGACAATCTATAAGCAAATGTATGAGATGCATGAATGTGAATGCAACATATTGGATATAGATTCACACTTTGTTGGTGACATATGGTCGTTATTCATTAGATATGTGGGTTGAACTTGAACTTGATATCATTGCTGTAATGTCGAGGAGAGATCTGCTCAGCTTTTTGACATTTGGGCTTTCAGCCATATACACATGTTTTTTTTTTGAAAATGTGGGTCTAACCCTTTCATTACTTATTTAAAAGCTTACAATGAAAAATTAATCTAATCTATTACAGGAGAAAAAACACTGCCTTTAGTAGCTATTGCTCTTAAAAAAAGATCGGTGTTATCCATGCTTCTTCGATATTTCATTATGTCTCCTCCTACTTGGCGAGCTTCCACTCGTAATAAATGGGCTTCTGCAGCTGCTCTATCAATTTGATCTTGTAGTTCTCTTATCCTCTCAGTATGAATCAAGTTGTTTCTAGACAAAAAGTTATTAGCATTGTCCAATGTTTGATTATGCTGCTTTATCATTTTCTGGTTTTCTATAAGCTGTGCGGTCTTCAATTTTTCTTTTTCCAGCTTAGATCTCAATGCTTCTGCTTCAACCTTATGATCATTCAACGCTACTTTTTGCTCTTCATGTATTTTAGTCACATGTTTAGTGTTGACTATTTCAATCTCCGCTCTCCCCAATTGGTCTTTAAGCTTGACTACGTCCGCCCAACGCATTTTTAATGCAGTTTGCGTCTTGATAGCTGACTCTTCCCAATGCTTAGCTTTTGCCATATAATATGTCATGTCTTTATTGATCGTCTTCAATTCATCCTTTGCCTTTATCCAGTCTTGACCCACAGAGTCCCTTTCTTCTTCAACTGTTTTTCTCACAGTTCTTTCTTTGGCTAACTGCTGCTCCAAGGACACTCTCTGCTCCTCCTTTGCTTTAAGCTCGGCTTGTAACAATTTTACTTGTTCCCTTAATTCTTCTTCATTGTTCACTCTTTTCCTTCGAGTGCCCACAGATTCAGAAACTTCTGCCATATAAGAGACTCTTCCATTACGCCATTCGGGATACCTTTCACTAACCGTAGGATTCCTTACACCTATCTCCTTTTTAACTATCACCAAAGAACCCCAATCATGCTTAATGCTCTCTAGTATTTCATTATATGCTCCTTTGTAGACTTCAGTGAATTGAGCTAAACCAACTGTTCTTGGAATGCTTTGTATGCCCCCAAGCTGTCTTGCAACCAAAGCAGGTGCATAACTAATATACCCAGTCACCCCAATCAAAGGTACCCAAGGCTTTTTCCCACAGCCCATTAGGTATGCTACATTTTTCATCCATGGGGCTCTCCAATTAAAATTGCTTTGCGGAATTCCTTGCAATTTTACCCTCCAATCATCTTCAGAAAAGTTTTCCCATTCACTTGATACAAATAACTCGAGTGGCTTTTGATCAAACCACCAAAAATTTCGGAATACTGGTGTCTCGGACTCTATATGGCTTACCATCCAAATGAACAACAATGGAACACAACATCTCATAGAACCTTTCCCAATCCTTTTGCAATGATTGAGAGATAAAAAAGTTTCAGCCAAGATCGCAGCAGAAGGATTAATTTTGGTCTTCTCATACTCCATAAACAAATTAGCTGCCTCTAAACTGATAATTCCGGCCGTCGAAGGAAACAAAATCAACCCAAATATCCCCAAAGCCAATATTCGGTATACCTCCAAATTAGCATCAATATTAGACTTTTTAGCAATCAAAAGCTCTTCTAGTCGTTTCCATCTCAAACCCCCAGAATTATTTTTTTCTCTATATAAGCTCATTTGACGGATTCCCAATAGCTTAGCGAGCTCCTCTATAGTATTCTCAATCTTTTGATGAAAGTAAACCTTATGGATATCCTCAGGAAATTCTGTCAAAACACCGTATTCTTCAATGGTAGGAACCATGTCGATATTCCCAAATGTAAAACATCGATATTCAGGATCCCAAAAATGAATTAAGGTTTTTATGGCTAATGGCAGTACTGGAACATTCAGAAGATGCAAAACTCTCCCATACATCCTAGTAAATTCTGCCTCATCGGCCAAGTATTTGGTGAATGGAAGCAAACGACTGGCCTCATTTATTATGCATCTCACATCTTTTAGTAGCGGTATCCCACTGTCATCCAGTCTAGGGCAGTCTCCCTCAGTCATATGCAATGATTCAGATTCAAGCCCATACTCAACCGTTGTGATTTCACGATTAACGACCATTATGTCACCTAAAAAACAATCCTGTAATAAAGATGCTATATGTTAAGCTTGCCTTAGTGAGATTTACATAGGGAACAACTTAAAGGGTAGGTTCTAGTCATTAAATGTTCAAGGTAGGCTACTATCTAGTCTTTGAAAGGTCTTTCGCATGCTCAGTGATCTTCCTCGAAAGGTTGATATGAGGCTTACAAGTAGCGTGAAGATAGAGGCCCTGAATAATATCAGTTTAGGCATACCAACCACTATCGAGTAAACAATCAAGCGAAAGTTGGATGGTTTCACGAGTCTTACCCAGGCTAAAGCCATTGGGGTACCGCTACTCTCCCACTTAACATAAAGTTTATACAACAGATATTTATTATGAAATGCGTGGTATGTGAAGGCGTCAATGCATATCCAATATATATGATGGCATGAATAAATATGGATGCTAAAGCTGTAAAAATAAATAAACCAAATAGAATAAAATAAAAACCAAAACACACGACAAATATTGGTAGCAATTTTTAACAAATAAAGCAAAGCTTAGTCTTAGGTCCCCAGTGGAGTCGCCATTCTGTCGCACCCGACATCGCGGCGGCCTTAAAAATTATAATGGAATGGAAAAATCCATATACATATATGCTTGCCTGGATTTAAGCCGGCACTGTAGAAAATTATGCGTGAATGAGTGGGCTTAGACCCGAGCCTGGGTGCTCCAGGACAAAACCCAAATGGTCTTGGCTAGGAACCAAGGTCAGATTGTTTTTTTTTTTTTTTTTCTTTTTTGTTTTTTTTTTTTTTTTTCTTTTTTGTTTTTTTTTTTTTTTTTCTTTTTTGTTTTTTTTTTTTTTTTTCTTTTTTGTTTTTTTTTTTTTTTTTCTTTTTTGTTTTTTTTTTTTTTTTTCTTTTTTGTTTTTTTTTTTTTTTTTAATTTTTTTTTTTTTTTTTTTTTTTTTGTCATTTTGTGTTTTTTACTTCTTTAATAATTTCTTTATTGAATTTCTAAATTTTTTGTTTGTATTTTACATAAAGTATAATATATAATTTTTTTTATGTATTTTTATGATTCTTCTCGTGTTGTTTTATGTCTATACTATCAAATTATTAAATTAATAGGATTTTAAATGTTATTTTGTTTCTATATTATCATCTGTCGCACCCGACATCGCGGCGGCCTTAAAAATTATAATGGAATGGAAAGAATGGATTTCTGGCATCCAATTCTTTGATGGTGAATGATCTTTGTTTAAGGAGTCGCCACCTAGTATTATGGTTACTAGGAACCCTAACTGGTCAACAGAGATTCTATGGTTCGAGACTG